CACACACACACACACACACACACACACACACACACACACACACACACACACCTGGGTCTCTCTCTCTGCAGCAGCTCAGCAGATTTGGGGCCCTGGTAGATGATCTCCTGGTTGTCGACGAGTTTACTGTCGCCTTTCTCCGACATCACCGCCGGCCTCAGAGGCTCCTGGGGCTTCACGTCACTGTGGAGCCCACGGGTGCAGCCCTGTGCTCACAGAAMCACAGACCACATCAGATCAAGAGATCCTGGTCTCTGAGCTCCACCGACACAAATAACAATTCAGCAGGTAAAGAAGAACAAAAGGATCTGAACTAGAGCTTTAAAGTGTCTGTGACATCAGGTTTTTGTAACAAACGTGAATGCATTTTTGGAAAGACAACATTAATAACATATTATAAAACAAATCTTATGCCGCTCAGATGAACAGTTGTTGARATATGTGAAATAACAGGAAGTGATGTCAAAGGGGAATGTCTGCATGTGAACAGAGTGTTACTGACAACACAGACTGTAGAGAAGAATTTGATGTTTCTTTTTGTTTTAAGTGACTATCAGAGAGAAGAAGAAGAGTCAGAGTTCAAATAATATAGTTTCAATGAACAACAACCAAGGAGGAGTCCCTTTTCTTAAAGAGTTCCCCTTTSATGTCWCTTCCTGCATTTCAAATAAATAATGCCTGTTAGGTGATAAAATGGGTAAAAATTGTTTTATGTCAAGTTCCTTACATATAATGATGTTTTCTTTGATTTTTTGTATTTGGACATGTACATGCCACAGGCACTTTAATGGTAACTTTATAGAAATGGTTAGACACCAGGGGCGGAGCTTGACGTTTTTTGCAAAGGGGTGGCCAGGGTGTTTTTAAGGGGGGCACGTAAAAGTAAAAAAAAGTACTGTGGATTTGAAAATATAAGGTGGCCTCCACAGCTGATTCCAAATGACTTTAATTCTACTTTTTAAGAAATGTGTGATTTTAAACACAYAAGGCTGAAGATTAGCATGGAAATAGACAAAAAATAATATTTACCAGTTTCAAGATGGCCACCGCAGCTAACTTTAAAATWCTATAATTCAGTCATTGTAAGATTTATTGAGATGAAATTTGTTGTGGAGAAGCTCTGAATAATCACATGCTGATTGCCACTGCTAATCCCAAATTAAGCTAAACGCTAATGCTAATGCTAATTTTACAACGGGCTATAATTCAGCTAAAAATGTATACAGTACTGCAGGGGTGGGCAATGCTGGTCCTGGAGGGACGCAGCCCTGCATGTTTTACTTGTTTCTCTGCTCCAACACACC